TCTCACATTAGTTGATTCCTCCACTCGAGGGAAGTATTTCTTCATTTACTTATCTAACCCTTAGCTGTGCTTGCTTTATGTCAGACACTATTTTAAGTGCTCTCATCATGATACAATCATGAGGTGGTTGTTATTATCCCCATAGTGGGGATCAGGAAGATGAGGCACATAGAGGTTAAATTACTTAACCAGGGTAATGTTGCTAGTAAGCTCTAGAACTAAGATTCGAACCCAGACTGTCTGGCTCTAGAGAAGCCATGCCTCAATCCCTGCTTTTGTTGCCTTTGGAAGTCTAGAAGCTTTGAGTTCTCGCCAGGTAATCTGGTTGTATGATCTCCTGAAAGGAATTTATGCCATGCATACCCGCCAGCTCTCCTCAGGACACCCCAGGTCCAACCTACCCACATTTCTGACCCTTTGTAGGATCTAAGAGGCAAACAAATGCTATAGGAGAACAAGACTAAGCCCTGCTGGGCATGGAGTAATAACAGGACCTTTTAGCAGCTCTCAAGGTCAATACAATACCTCAACACAGTGTATCTTTGTAGAAATATTCTTACTGTTAATTGGCATCTTCAAAGATGAAAGGGTTGGTCTCAGTCAGCTGTTAGGTAAAATGTAGCTGATCCATTACCTAGTAGAGACTGTTGAACCAAGAAGGACTGCTGTGGAGATTAAAGGCTGAACTGATCAGCTGAATTCCAATGTTTTCAACATATGTCAAGGTAAAAAGGATTTTTTTAGCTGGAGAGACATGAAAACGCATGCCTTATCATCCAAGTTTGTTGAATGTGAATGTTCCTTGTAGGTGTTTCTTGGTTACCATTTTCTTCAGTATAACCTCAGAGTTGTATTAAGCTCTATCAAGGCTACTTTTTGTAACCCTAAGAGTGGATTGGTTGATGAAATGATGGTTTCTTGTTGATGGGTAAATAGGACACCAAGATTATCTAACCATCTCTTTTCTTTTGCTTTTTGATTGCCCTTCATTCTAACAGGTTGATGCTGAAAGCGTTCTCCACAGGCAGCAGGTTCTCTGGGTGTGCATGCAGCCACTGGCCATCCCAGCTGGGAAGCTCAATGAGGAAGACCAGTCATTGAGCAGAACTGTTTGAGGCATTTTGGGTGGTTCATTGTTCCTTGAGGATTCTGAAACTGGATGCACAACTCTGTGTAAGAAATAAATGCTTTTTCCCTCCTGTGGTTCATTGTGCATTGTGGATTTGTGCCTGTGAGGGATATGTCATCCTATAGGACTGCCATGGGCACCAGAATGTCCCAGATAGGAGCAAAACATATACTGATGGCCAAGGAGGAAATTTATTTAAGACAAGGTCCAGGCACTGGGAAAGCTTTGTTTTTTTTTTTCCTTAAAGATGAGCATCACTTATCCTATAGAGATCTAGGTTTTCAGTGTGAAAAGACTCTCAGGGAAGTGAACCTTCTGGTTATTTTATTAGCAGACCACCTAAACAATGAGACACACTATTACTTTAGGTGGTACCTAGTTTTGTGAAGATCCATAATGGTAGGGACAAATCAAAGTACTTAGAACTAAAGGTTCCCTTCTGGTGATGGAGTAACAGGCTGAGTTCATTGCTGATAACATATGATTTGGTTTTGCCAAATCTTGATCCCGAGCTGTGCAGTTCAACATGGCAGTCACTGACCATATGTGGCTAGATTTAAATACTTTAAGATTAATTAAATGAAATTAACAAAAATTAAATTTAAAAAATTCAACTCCTCAGTCATCCAAGTCACATTTCAAGTGTTCAACAGCAGTGTGGTAGCTAGTGGCTACCATAAAGGACAATGCAAATTCAGGGAACAGTTCTATTAGAGTAGAATGTTCTGTTGAACTTCACTGATCTAGAAAATAAATAGGTCTCAAAAGATAGTCTATCAAAAAACACCATTTAGATGCTTGATTGGCCATACCAGGGAGATTCTATCTAGTTTTTATTCTGAACCTCTAGATATCTGAAGGATTGCTAGAAGGGTGGAGGCAGTATGATTTTAGATTTGGGTGTGGACTGTAAAGCCCAATTTTTTCAGTAAAGATAACCTTCTTTGGCAGATCACTGTGGACACGGGTCATAGGCAAGTAGGTAAGAGGATGCTGAAAGGTTAGGGCTTACCCTGAATGAGGAGTGTGTGACTGGGCAGGAGGAAGTGCGCAAAGGTACTTTTAATACTTGCACAAGCGCGAGTGTGGCTATTTAGTTTCTGGAACTTTCTTTGGTTTTTGACCTCCTTACCTTTCTTTATCTGATTATATTGCTAAAAATAGGTTAGGCATCTTAAGAAGGTGAATCTCAGCTTTCTTTTCTGGTTTAAAAGATTTTTAATGCCTTCCTCAAAGGCATTAAGGAAAGTATTTCTTTTATTAGTCCTGCTTCATATGCCTCTAAAACTTTAAAAGGATTTAAGGAAAGGGAAATCAAATGAAGGCTGATAATACCTCTCACAAGAGTTCAGGATTTCCCTGGCGGCTTGTCACATGAGGGTGTATCTAAGCCACTTTCAACAGTGGTGAGACATTTGACTGCCCCCTCCCATCTACGTCTTTTGATGTAGCCTCATGAACTGAGGAACTGGGAAGGAAAGAACAGTGTCTGAGGTCTTCATCTGCAGGGGCTAGGAGACAGGATGTTAAAGAAAATTGATCAGAGGGTAAGGTGTCTCTCATGGAAGTTAGGAAGTAGGTCAAGAGAGAGATGTTAAAAACTAAGTCACTATTCAAAGAACAACTAGAATTAAGAACAGAGAAACTAGCAACAGAGCCAGGAGTTGTCTCTAGTAACTTTAACAGGAGCAGTTTCCCGAACTGAATAGGAGTGTGGGTACAGGGAATAAAGAGGGGATTTCCAAGGTAGCAACAAAAACATGAGCACTGGACCTTACTTATTTAGTCTTGGTTATTTCATCATCCTCTCATGCAAATCAAAGCTCCAGCATGCAATAAATACTTGCTGAATAAATCCTCCGGAAAGAAAATCACATTGAATGCATGAATTCCTTTATTGAAAATATTGGGCTAGCACTGCATTACATACACTCAATATCCATAAATGAAGGGCCACACATGTCTGATTGGACAATACTGTTTTAAATAGAGAACACAGCATCTGAATATGCTCTCACAAGTATAATATCATGGACTAAAGTAGATAAGAGTGAACTATATGCAAAATGACCATTTTGTTAATAGCATATGGTTGCAAATGGCATAAATGGTAAACGTGATCATACTGAGACATTCCTGGATCTCACACAGGCACATTATGTAACAAGCAGATTAATAAGGTTCAACTGCCAATAAGTTGTTAATGAAGAGTTCGCAATAGAACTTAGGTGAAAGTACACCCAGGCTACAGATTTAAGATTTTATAGCATTCAAAGAAACTTGTGTGGAATGTGAGTGTAGTAAAATAATTGTTGATCTGACAGGAGGCCACATGGCAATTTGTCTGTTCTCTTTTATAAATAGTCTAAAGTAAGAGAATAAGCTAAAGGAAGTATTCCGCCAGCTTAAAGCCAACATTCTAAGCACTGTTTACATTTTTAAAATGCAGGTCTATAAACTACTACTTTCTATTAATTTTTCCTTTCAAAGATCACTGGAAATGTAATTTATGACAGACAGCTTTCTCAGCTTTGGCTATTACTTGACTTTTTTTTCCATTAGCAGTCTTTGGCTTTGTAAAAGTTTGACAATAATATTTGTTAAAATTTTAACAAGGTTTTATTATTAACTTTCATAAAAGAGTGTTTAATGATGTGAAAGTGAGTTGATATTTAAAACCTGCTTTTTACTTTTTATTCCAATTGTGGTATAAATGCATTTCTTTGCATTGAATTTTTTTCAATTGAAAGTGTAGAAACCAAGACAATTGGGATAACTGATATTTTTCATTTGATATAAAATATACAGAAATTAAAACATTCAGTCTCATTTAAAACAGAGGCCTGTTAATGTAAAAACTTGGGTAAGATTATGCAAAAAAATCCAATAAAAATACAATTTTTGTTACTAACACATGAGATTTTATAAGAAGCAAAACATTTCTTTTCAAAAGCAGGGTTCTAAATCCAGGATCATAAAGGTATACATTACTGTAAATATCAATTTATGACTGTGAGAAATGGCTTATTCTTCTTTACACAATTATGTTCAGAGTAAATAACTAAAAATGTACCTTTTCAATGACAAAATGGAAAGATGGCCTACAGCAGGCAAATCAATAAACATTGAAAATGAGTTTTTAAAAATTCAGAATTGTCTGTGGGTATATATATGTGTGTGTATATATATATGGACATTAAGCAGCACATACATATACAGATCACCCTAAACAATCAGGGCAAAAAAAATTTAATATAAAACTATATAAATCAAATGGATTTGTTGCCAAAACAGCACAAAACATATACATTTCTTTACTTCAAGATTTAACACATTAAAAGAAAAAAATTGCCAACACATTTCAAACAGTATACTAGAAATAATAAATAAAACACTTTTAAAAAATCATATATTCCCTTTAAGTGCTGTGCACTTTCAATTTTTCTAAATGAGACTAAACTTTTCAATGGCAAACAATAGTATGCTGTACATTTTGGTAATGAAAATTATGTTGATAAATATACAAGGAATGTATATACTTCTACAGTATTTTCTTTTTCACAGTTACCAAAAATAAAAATTGCATTCAACTCACATCTATAAATATTCTGACTCCTCACTCTATGGGTTTGAAGGAAGTGAGAGTATAAAGTCTTTCAACGATCTGAACTTCAAATTCTTTCTTCATCGTCTGCCTTCCACATGTACCTTTCAGAATCTCTCTGCAATGTAAGTGCGCTCTGAGATGATGGCAGAAAGAAAGCACTATGATGGGATGAGGCAGTCTGGGGGGCTTCGTCTTCCAGCTAGCTTTAGCAGGGCTGACTGAACCCAGTCTTTTTAAATGTTCTATTTTAAGGCAGTCTAAATGTCACTCGAATGTCCATACCTCAAGGTCTTGAACTATGAAGTCTTCCTTTTTGGAAAGAATATCATTATTAAAAGTGCTGCAGGAGTTGCTTCGTCCATGGTATAAATCGGCATCTAACCATAAGCCAAATCGTCCCCTACAAAGGTTAAAAAAGCAATATGGTGAAAACATCTCAATTTTATGTACACGCTTTCTGTCTTCCCTTGCCCCAACTTCTTTCTTTTATGCTATAGTCAAAACCCTAAACTGCTTATAAAACATTTCCTTTATTTCATTAAAATGACCTGTCTTTCAGGTGGTCCCTCATTTGGACACATAAATAAGTCATTTTATCTTCTATTCTTAGTGTCATGTGTTAGACCACACTGTCCTAAATAATCGACTAACTACACATGGACCAACTACAATCAGCTGATACCAAAGTTTCAGTTCCCTGGATTAAAACAGACCCACTCTGGTAAAGTAGTAAATTAATAACAACAACAAAAACCTTACCCTCCACCACCAAGTTCCAAAGAACTTATGTCTCCATTGATAAAGTATGAGTTTTCTCCACTCCACTTGAAGACCTTAGGTAGAAACACAAGACAAAGAGAGATCAGACATTTCAATCTGGAGAATTAGCAAAGAGGGAGGGGACCACCCATAGGCTGAGGAAGCTCCTGACTTCTAGACCTTTCCCACACCAGGATGAGCTCTCTGAAGCGGTGATGAGGCAGGAAAGGTCTCTCGCACACATGTTGGCTCTGACCTGCAATTCCACCCTGGATCTCAGAAGTTACATGCAAAAGTTCCCAAGGCCCAGGAAGGGAACCAAGCAGTTTCTATGCTGCAATCATGAAGTGCTGAGCAGGCTAGGGTGAGGCCAAGTGAGGTTATGGGATGGGACGTCTACCGCTCCAACCACAGCCCCCCACCTCCAGCGCCACCGACCCTCCTGACACCATGATACAAGGACGTCAGTATTCCTTCCATCTAGGTACCTTGAAATGAGGGCTAAATGTATAGAGAAAAGTTTCGCCTGTGCCATAATAGTGATCACTGAATTTGAAAGGATGAGTCGCATATGCTCCAAAGATCTGTCAAAAGAAAACAGAAATGTTAGTAGCTTTCAAACATAAACCTCCCAAAGAAAGCCCTTCTGAAATATTTTAGCATAATCCTATTCTGAGGTCTCATTATATCTCTTTCAACAAGATTATTATGAAGAACATTACTAAGTCAGAGTTTCTAAGTAAAAAAGACCACCAACCAACAAATAAAATGTCCCTGGTTCTTATTAGTACCCAAGGGGCTCAGAGAACTTATCGGTCAAAGGTCAACAACTGCTTCAATTTAAAAAGACTTCCAAAGTCCACTGTAGAGACAAATGTCTTCCAGTGAATACAGGTCACAGACTGGAACATTAAACAACTACAACATATATCTTGCACACAGAAATGAGTGGCTGGGAGAATGAGGGCCTGTCTCTGATGTGTTTTATAAGTAGAATCACGGTCAGATATTTCCCCAGAGAAAATAAATTTTCCTCTCCCTTGATTCGTAAAAATGAGTTTTCAGTATGCTTAATAGAACTGTATCCGTAATGTGACTGATCCAATACATCTTAGTTCAAAATGACTTTTAAGAAAAAAGTAACAATTCCATAATACTGTGGGCTTTCAAGGTGGTTTAGATGTATCTGAATCAATGATTTTGTCTATTTTTTCTTGTTGGGGTTGGAAGGAGCAGTGTTTTCAGAATGACCATCCCACTGCTTCAGCCTCCTAACCTCCTCAGGTCCTGACGAGTACTTGCAGGGGTGAAGACTGGTAAAAACAAGCATACATATTTTGGAATTGTCCCTAGGTGATTCTGATAAATCTTCTCCAAATCCCACTTGAGAAACAATGCTTCAAATGGAGTCTATCTGGAAAATGTCTTATAATTTTTCAAAATAATTTAAATCTGATTATTATCACCATGGACTCTCTGCTTCAGTTCCTAGCTCTTTGAAATACTAAAAATTAAGCAGAGTAGAAGTCTAGAAACTCTTTCTAACCCATGTTCCTCATACCAAAATCTCTCCCTAGAGCTGCTAAGAGCAAAGAAAAAACAGTAACAAATTTTCTTAGCAATCATAGAAATTTTTTTAAGCACTGGAGATAGGATGATACTAAGAAATGACAGTTAATTTTTTGGATATGCATCATTATGGTTATGTAAGAAAACATTCATTTTATTTTTTATATTTATTTAGAAAGAAGTTGTATAATATGTATATAATTGTATTGTTGGATCTATAGCATCTAAAAATTTAATATATTTGACAATAATAGAACAAAGGAATCCAGGGAGGGGAAGGAAGATAGCCAGAAGCGGAAAAAGGAAGGTTAATATGACAAAACCTATAAATGCATAATTGCTCTCCTCCTCTCAGCTTTCTTAGTAGATAAAAATCACACAACTATATAAATGACAGTTTATTGTTGACTTTGTAATATATATCAGTGTTATACCACAAAATTACCATAAAAAGTGGAAAGATGTAATAGAACAATGTAGGAGCAACATTTCTATACCTCACTGGAACTAAGTATAAATCAGACTCTGTTACTTGATGATTGCTCTATTATTTTCCATAGTGCCTTGTGGTATAAATTACTCCATGGCAATTCTCATTCAATTATATTTAGGCCCCTTTGCTATGGTAGTTTTCTCGGCCAGTCTCTGTAATTTATTCTGACTCCAGGAAGGCTCTCCTCAGCTGTCTCTTGCCCTGGTTCTCTCTGGAAAGTCTATAGCTTAGTCTGCGGCCTTCATTCAGCTACTAGCCTCCTCTTAATTGTTTACCACCAAATTTGTATTGTTTTCTAGACCTCCCTTTAGCTTGAACTTCCCCCACATTCTTCTAAATAATGTCAGGTCCTTAGGGGAGAGCTTCTGAGCTGTATGTTTTATGGTCTGCCCATTCACCTGGAGCTGGGAGCTAGGGACTCGGCTTGCTTTATGAGCAGAGAGTGCTGGGTAGGGGCAGTAGCGACTGGTCTTGGCTCCCCTCTTCTGCCGTGTAACTTCTGCTCCATGCTGAAGCAAGGGCAGCAGACACCCCGGTCTTCTCAGCCTGCTGTGCTGACGGTAGACCAACCATCCTCCGAGAAGGGCCAGTAAGGGGAAGAGCGCCCCTACTTCCAGGCTGCCCTTGCCTGCAATTCAGCCTCTGAAGCAGAATGGTGGGTAGGGTGTAAGAAATGCTAAGGACCTGCCTGGGGGCTGGGCTTGACGGATCCTCATCTTCTTGTCCACGCGTGCCCAGAACGAAGCCTGTGTCTGAACAGGGACTGGTCGGGGGGCAGGGGGGCTGGGAACAAGCTATACTTCAAGTGCCACAGAATCTCACTGTTATTACCGAGATTCATCAAATATTCTTTAAATGAATTTTCACTTGCCGTGTGCCCTTAGGACAATATCCAGAGACTTTAAGTATTATTGTTTTTATATTTCCCATCAGTAATGGCTGTTTCACTAGGGATTGGTTCTGTAGAACTCCTCATGCCTACCAGTCTGCATGTGTAATGCTTTTATATTAGAATTATATATGGTTCATTTCCAGATAAATGAACAGATGTTGTGCTATCATGTTCCCAAACACAGTGGAGCTGCATCCTTGCCTTGGGGGTAGATGGGATGGGGAAAGCAGAGTTAAGTGTTCAGCTGCCTTCAAATAACACAAATGCCTTTCAGTAAGATAACACCTCAGAGACAAATAGTGTAATCTTCAGGAATAGGCAGGCCTCCTTTACATACCTCTGATAGGAAGCTGAGTAAAACCATGCATCATCAAAACCTGCTCTGTGAGGCCAACAGATTTCCCAACAAGTTTGCTATCTATTAGTAACTTAATAGCAGAACTAATCTATACGTACAGTGCAGGTTTGTGTGTGGTCTAACACCATCTAGCCCTATCTCATCTAAAATGTAGCACCTAACTTTGCAAACATTTCACTAAATCTCCAAGTAAATTCCATTTTAAATCTGTTGTTATTATTTAATTTTTTTTACTTTGCCGCTCTCTACTATTCAGCTTGGACTATGATTAAATTAAGTGTTCTCAATCTGTAAATAACAGTAGTAACAGTGATAATAGCTAAACCATTCCCCACAATTCTTAACCTATAATTATACTGTAACCTACTCACAGGAAAGATCACAGTCGAGACAGACAGTGCCTTTAGTACCGCTATCTCTCATTTTTCCCAAATTATGACAGCAAAAATCTATTTCCCCTAAATTGATCCTAATTATATGGCATCTCAGCAAGCTCCTCAATGTATAATAGTGCCCCACACCTAACAGACACTCGTGCGTTTTCTCAATGGATGCATAAATAAATGGTTGTCAAGTAAACCCTGCTTCCAAATGCCAGAAATAGAGAATAATGATAACTATATCTTAAAAAAGCAAAGAAATTTCTTCTTGCTATAATACAGACCAAATTGAAAGGGTCTTTAAAGATGAAAAAGCAGACTTGAAAGATTTCATCCTTTTGTAATGCCGAAGTCGCCCTGGATGGTTTAGAAAAGAAACCCAGACAGATTCCACTCAAACTCCCAGCTGACTGAGCCAAAAATTATTAGTATAGGGTAGATGGGAGTAATATCTATTAATAGATTTCATCAGGGCCTCCAAGACCAAGAGAGATGAAACAGAGATGAAAGTGAGAGAGATGAAAGTGTAATAAGCAATGGCCCAGAGCATTTTCTCCTGTTTCACAACAACTGGGCCCATAAGGTACAACACACCATGCGCTTAACTGGCTCTCCATCTCAGGAGATACGCAGACAAGGTTGGTGGGCACTACTTCAGCTACCTGAAAAGAATTCTGGGATGGCACTGAAGCTTCTTTCTGCAACTATCTCCAAATCTCGACTTGAATTCTTCCAACTTCTCCAGTTTCAGCTTGCAGGATATCCCTGTAGCTTCCTACTCTATGATGAGAACAGGGAAAAATGTGACTGTACCAGGAGACATGCTCCTTTTTCTTTTTCAGAGATGCATTCTGAAGTAAGTAGGGGTAAAACAACATAATAATTGGGGATTTACTTCAATTCTTCAGGAAAGAAAAGAACCAAGTGTCTGTGGCAAAATCCTGCTAACTGCGGTCTTGCTGATGGGAGTTCATTGTATCAGTCTCTCTCCTGTTGCGTACGTTTGAGAAATTTCAGTGAAAAAATGTTTCTCTATAAGAGGAACAAGCCTCACCTGATTATCCATATCTTTGATGACCAATAGGACAGGACTGTCTAGTGCTGCTGACTTCCGGTAGAGAGTTTTCAAGCTGGTCCCATGCTCTAGCGTGCTGTATGCAAGTCTCCATGGATACCCCTGCACCCTTGCTGGAAGGCGTCGGGCCAGCTGTGAATCCAAGGATGGAGATGTAAATATACAGGCTGCCTGAAAATCATCACGCATGACCTTGTAGCACCAAACAGATGCCTGTGGCTCAAACTCAAAAATCACATGACTTTCCACATTGCTCCCCTTTACGCTAGCAAACACTTGCCACTATAAACTGAGAAGGCAAAACCAGTGCTTGACATTGTTTGCCTTGGCAGGGATGCTCCCCAGAGCATGTATTCCCTCTCAGGGATGATGCTGTGGGGTTACGGCGCCACTGTACATTTGAAGATAGACCACCGAGCTTGAGTAAGAGGTATGGATTAGACCCATGCTGTCTTGTGTACACTTCAACCCAACTTTCACTGAGTATTTTACCAGCTGATCTTTCTAAACATGCCAAGGCTCAGAGCTGTTACTGACAACTGAAGTGTCTCACCAAACTGAGCACAAGAAAGCATGGGTATTTTGTGCCAGTAATCTGATGTAGTTTGTCCTCCTTGCACTTGTATTTTTCACTAATTTTAATATTTAACTCGATTTTGGCTGTCATAGGGCTTCCCAGGTGGTGCTCGTGGTAAAGAACTCCTGCTTGGCAATGCAGGAGATGTAAGAAATGCAGGTTTGATCCCTGGGTCGGGAAGATCCCCCGGAGGAGGGCATGGCAACCCACTCCAGTGTTCTTGCCTAGAGAATCCCATGGACAGAGGAGCCTGGAGGGTTACAGTGCATAGGGTCACACAGAGTCAGACACGACTGAAGTGATTTAGCACAGTAGCTGTCATAAATATCAATAATGCATATCTTTTAAAAAATACAAACAACGGAGGCTGTAAAATGTTGAAGTCCTCAGAATGCTTGGCATAGTTCTAGAATCAGCATGAACTCTGTCTCTGTAACTGCCTGGTCAAGTCACTTAGCTTTACAGGCCATCACAGATGCTTTTATAAATTGAGGGACTTGAACGTGGTGATTCTCTAAGGTCTCTGAATTTCAGTTTCTAAGCTGATTGATGGGGGAAGTATGAGGTCCCTTCCTAAAGTTCAAACTCAAGCACATAGTATTTCAAGAAAACGGAATTAAGAGATGCTCAGGAAATAGAAAGTAAACAAAACAAAACAAAACTAAGAGAAAGAAAAGTTATTCCTAGTAGTGATAGATGGTTTTCACAAAGCAAGTTAAGTGTACTACGTGACGTTTACTGAACCTGATCAATTAAAACCATGGGAACTCTGAGATAAATGATCCTTTTAAAATATGTTAGGACTATAATAGGACACTTTAAACATTATTCTGAAATGGCTTTTTGCTCAGGTCTCGGGAAATGAATATAGGTGTCTGGCCAAGTCCTCCTTCTCCCAAGAGGGTGGCAGGGACACTGTCTTTCTGAAACAGGGGGCCTTGGTCAGGCTGCTGGGGTTTCCCTTTAAAACCGGACTCACTCTCCACCCCAAGTGAGAAGAGCAAATGGTTTTAAGGTTCGCAAGGCCCCTACCCTCATCCCCAGGGAGAACCCACCTGCTCAATGTGCATGTTCTCCAGAAGCGAGCTGTGGGGCTGCAGGATCGGCAGGGCGGCCTCGTCCTCGTCTTCATAGTAGCTGCACGTGCTCTTCCTGCGTTTTGCCTCCTCGACCGTGATGATCTGAAACAGAGAAGCCAGGTAAACCAAGAAAAAGGATATTCTGGCTTTTCCTTCACCTGCTATTAACAAAAAGGACCTCAGTTACATGACTGCCTGTAACCACTAGGGTTTTAGCAGCAGGACATAAATTGAGCCAAGACTCTTGGGGGGAACGGCTAATTACCATCTGGATTTCAGAGAAAATGCAGAATTTAACACAGTGTGGCTGCAACACTCAGTATGTACAAATTAAGTCACAAGTTTTCCAGTTTTGTTACTCTCGGTCATCAGATAAGAATTTTGTGTAATTTCACAAGCAATTCATACCCTTGAAATGCCCTAAATGATTCTCCATTAGCCTGCATCTAAATTTGAATTATTAAGGGGGTAATTAGAGATCATGGTATGAGTAAGTCTTCTATAAATAGGGAAATTGGGAAGATTAAGGATAGCTTTTTAATCAAGACTCCTAATGTTTCCTCTCAAGGCCAGGCACATAGCAACCAACCCGACAGAAACAGCGAATGATGATATCTATGGAAAATAACAAAACAAAGAGGCATCAAGCTTTAGTCTAAATTATAATTATGTTATGATTCCTTACGGGCAGTTCAGAAGCCATCAAAGTAGTATTTCCTTCAAAGCTGAGAACAGAAGCATGATGTTGCTACATACCATTTATTTCACTGTAAATACACTTATCAAGTACCAGGTTCGAATCTTCTCGCTTTTTGCCTCTCTGAAAATCTGGATAAGTCACCAAATTATTTTGAACTTGAAGGGTATAGAGAGAAGGTAACGAACACACTAAAATACCTGAGTACAAACAGGAATGATTTTTCATTATAGAGAAAAAGCATTTACGTCACCTCAGTGAAAAGTTGCCAGATAGTGACTACTGTTTCCAGAATGCTGTCACCTGAACCTGATTTATAGGTAAGGAAATTGGCCCTTAAATTTTACCATTTTCTAAGGGGCATTTACTTAAAGGACACACTGTCAAAGAACCACAAATTCAGCATTTTAAATATGTTAAGTAAAGCACATGTTTCGGGGGACCTCTGCGTTTAACACAAGTACAAAATGGGGCTGCAGAATGAAAAAGTGTGGAATTTTGACTCCAAAGGGAATGGGCAAACCACACCAGTGTCTCTCTCCAAAGTGAATAAAAGAATAAAATCTTTTAATAAAATCTTTGAATAAAATCTCTCTGGCTGAGAGAGCAGTCCGATCCTTTCTAATTAGAAAGCATTTCAAAACGTCTGAGTGGCAGAGCGCAGAGGGTCCGCAGGCACCTGATTAGCTACCAGGACTGCAACATACCTTCACAAAAGGCTCTTGGTCCGGTCTGGCACAATAGAAAATCTGAGTGTCCGGAGGCAGTCTTCGGACTCGCATGGTGAAGGGGTGGGAACTGCCTGCTTGCTCTCTGAAGAGGAACAGGTCTTTTGCCTGGCTGCCCCCACAGCACTGTTACAGCCACGCGGAGCTACAACTGCTTATGCAGTATCTAGTTTCCTGCAAGACTGAGTTTCTGTTTCCCTCAGGAGAGCGTTCAATATTTCTACAGGAACACACCCAAATTAGGATTTCGAGCAAACACACACTTCCTGTTAGGCATAGCTGTGAGGCTGTAAAACGACACTTTCACCTTTGAAACGGTGGTGGTTTCCTAACAGCACAACAAAACCTCATTGTTGTGCGTTTTTTTCTTTTTTCTCCCTTCTTCTTCATCTTGAACTTTTCTTCCCAACTGTCCTCAGGCTGCCTGAGCTAGCTTTTTTCTAGCCCTGCCTTCTCAGATTTTTTTTTTTTCCTGCATCTTCTCTGAAGGGAAATCTCCATTTTAAAACTTTTGAGTGTGCTCACTGACATCAGTTTGAATCTCAAAAGGAAAGATGAAAAGGAGGCTTTACCGGAGATAGGTTCATTACATTTAGAACAATGGCATTTCACTTCAAGACCCTGTTATGTTTGCTGGGTATGAGAGATGTCAAAGAAAGGAAGAACATCTGGTTTATATGAAGCTGAGAAAAATGTTCCTTTCGATTTGGTTTTCCAAAAAGAGTTGGCAAAGTGATATTTACGTTTTAACCTTTCAAAATATTAATCTTAATGACAAATAAGCATGATGAGTCTTCCTCTACTGCCCAGATCAGATTTCTAGGGGTTGGAAAGAAATGCAGATCACTGCTGGATCAATTTTCAAGGATCTTTCTGTGAGTTTTCCAGGTCAAAAATGGCCTTTTGGTCTCCGGTACCCCTGGGGGATTGAGCGCCACTACACAGATCATCCCAGGGGTCATGAGGCTGTGGAGGAAATCTGGTGGCCAGTCTCAGGCTAGCCAGAACTTATTCTCAGTGCAAGAGTCTGGACACAATCTAGGGCAGAATCACTTGGACTCTGTGCCAGTGAGTTGGCATGATCTTCAGTGCCTGATGCTTTGTGACAACTAACATTTGCTGAGAGCTTTCTATATGACCCCAAGTGCCAGCTGCTTTGCAAGGCGTGACACAAGCAATTACAATATATCACTTGTCAGCTTTTTAAATTAGCAGAAGTCTTAAGAAAGGAATAATAGTTAATAAGGCTTTCTGTTAGCAGAAGCACAGTGAGAAGGGTATTCCTCACATTTCTGGCAAATTGTCATTATATACAAAATTAGGAGCCTTAAAAAAGTAATACCCTTATGCTAAGTAATTTCACTTTCAGGAAATTTTAGGAAAAGAGTCAGAGTTATACATCATCTCATCCTTGTGAAAAACTTGAATGAACACGATTTCTACAAGTGACGGAATTGTTAAATTTTGATTGAGGTTTAAAATATGTAACCATTAAAACGAGGCTTCAAAATCTTTAAATATGATACAATTCTCACAAGATGTCAGGTAAGAAAAGTCAGATACCAAACTATACATAACAATGATCTCATTTTACAAAAATAAAAAGACTCACTCTCTCTACCCTTACCCCCTAGAAAAATACTCTATGATAGAAAGCATTTAAAAAATGTATGAAAGTGTTGTGTGGTTAGATATTATTTTTAAAATATTCTGCATTGTACTTTTCTATAGTTTTCAAATTTAATATAATAAGCAGGTATTACTTTTATAAAATCAGGAAATAAAGCTTATTTAGAGAGCTTGGTATGGAGGGTGGACTGGTGGTTGGGTTGGCCGGAGGTGCCCTTGAAAGGGTGCAGACAGCTGATTAGGGCAGTGGGCCCCACCCCACATAAGATCAGAATCAACAAATTCCAACTAGAGATGAGTGAGGATGAAAGAGAAGAAGCTGGGATGATATTTAGGTTTCTGATTTGGGGAACCACTAATTAAGATGGGAAGGCATAAGGACAAGCGAGTTTGGGTGAAAGATTGTCAGGGAATGTTTGATAGGAGGATTCCTACGTGCTGTCTCTCATGAGTCCTCTGTCCCTCTTCAAGCGAACAGCACGCTGCTCCCAGGGACTGAGGTCATTGTGTGAGGCAGGCTTGGGTCTCCTTTAGAAAACATTCTCTTTAGGACAAAACTGCTTAGTCTCGTTCCCCTTTCTTGAGATATGGATTGCCTCCTGACCTCGTGACTAACATTACCCCTTGTTCCCTTGGTAACGGTTGCTGTACGTTTGGTTTTCTGATCTCTATCATTCCCGAAAGAAGTTTCTTGTACCGCAGCCTATATATACTCATAGGAAAATCATTAAAGCACCTTTGCTCCATCAGAGCTTAGGTCCCTGGGTCTTTTTTTGTCTCTCTCTCTCTTTCTCTCTTTTACTTTCTTATCGTCGACTCCGTACCACCAGGTTCGGGTCCATTAAAGGACCCCAACAAAAGATGACGGGACTTTATGGACAGGCTGAGGATCAGACACCTGTTAGGGGAGTGAAGGTTCCTCTTCCCCACCCACAGAGGAGAAGCAATGGGATGCCAGGGGCCCGGCTTTAAGGTAATGCTAGCAAGCCGAGTCTGCTCCTGCACATGGGAAGGAGCCTGGCCAGCATTCTTCTCCTCATTGTACTTTTGGACTTTCTTGTCCATGTGGCAAGAAACTGGGATAACAGTCCAGTTACCTCTGTCTCCCGGTATCTTTTCTTTCCATGTGCCCCAAGTGCTAACAAGAGCACTAGGATCTTGGAAGAGGCCACCTCCCCATTTCTTCCTCCTCCTCCATCCCTTCTTCTTTTCTTCCTCTTCCGCCACAGGTCTAGAGACACACCTTCGAGAGGGATGTGCTCTTTCATCCTGCTCCGTGGCTCAGTCCGAGCAACTCACTCAAGCCCACTCGACTCTAGACCCAGAAGCACACCTTTCTCTCTCTGCATGCCTCCTTAGCGCCTTTTCTTCTGTGTTGGCGGGTGTGGCCACTTCTCCCACTGGAGTTGTCAGGAGCTGAGATTCAAGGTTTGGATTAGTGGAAACAGGCAAAATAGGCCTAAACGAGGGCTGCTTCAATTCAAGCTATCCAGACCTAGCCAGGAAAGGTTTGAATTCCCAAAGCAATTGAAACCCTCTCTCCAGGACTCCATAATGGGGCAACAGACCATAGCCTTTGCAAGAAAATACACCTTTCCCAGCTCTGCTGCCTCTGCGCACATATCTCATGGGGGCCTCTTGGGCACAGATGGTTAGATGAGGAGGACAGGAATTGATATTCCTCGATACCTTAGCCAGACTGCCCGTGCCACACCATCTCTGCCTCGTGGAGACCCAGGGGTGCCCGTGGGGCATCTATGTGCTCTAGAGAGGCAGCTTGGAAAGAAAGAAGCGTGTGAAGCTGACATGTGGGAATCCGCAGCATAAATCTCAAAAGCTGATGAGCTCATCCAAGGAAGATGTAATAGATGAGAAGAAAAAAGAGTCAGAGATAAACCCTTGGGGAACACCATGAGAAAGGGAACAAGCAAAGTATATCTGAGGGGCCTCCCTGGTGCTCTAGTGGTTAAGAATCTGCCTTCCAATGCAGGGGACGTGGGTTTGATCCCTGGCTGGGGAGCTAGGATCCCACATACCCCAGGGAAACTAAACCCAATGAGCCATAATTACTTAGCTCGAAACTACTGAGCTCGCATGCTACAGCTAAGACCTGACGCAGCTAAATATAAATATTTTTTTAAAAGTATACTCAGAAAGACTGGCCAGAGATAGAAATAAAACAAACAAACAAAAAACCCAGAAATGATAAGAAAAGCCAAGGGAAGGAGAGTCTAATAGGCTTGTGCTGTGCTGTGCTAAAGTCGCTTCAGTCGTGTCTGACTCTTTGCAACCACAAGAACCGTAGCCCACCAGGCTCCTCTGTCCTTGGGATTCTCCAGGCAAGAATACTGGAGTGGGTTCCCATGCCCTCCTCCAGGGCATCTTCCCCACTCAGGAATCGAACTTGAGTTTCTCACATCTCCTGCAGTGGCAGGCAGGTTCTTTACCACTAGTGCCACCTGGGAAACCCTATTTTTAATCAATGGTTTCAAACAAGAAGCTTACGAACAATGTGAAAACAAACATGCAAATGAGTCAAGTGCTGGGCCACAGACCACAGAGCTAGGAGCAGGGGGCCAGGGGAGCACAGGGGGAGGAATCGACCGAAAGCCTCACAGCAGTGACCAGTGAACTGGACCTTTGACGGATGACAGGAGCCTGCCACAGCAAGCTGTGTGTGTGTGTGTGTGTGTGCCCACATCGGTGTGCACTCGGTGGGAATGAGTGAATGAGAAAGGGACGAGTGAGAGCAAACACACACATGAAGGGACCAGGCATGTCAGGAGGAGTTAGACCCAAGGGGCCGGCTTCATCACCTTTCACCGTCCCAGTCTCACAGAGCTCCAGTCTTGGAAGATCCGACGGCCGCTTGAGGAATCTACATCCAGGTTGGGAGTGTTGCTGGACAAACCTCACCCCCCACCACCCCCCACTGCAGCCTGATGCCAGACCCCACCGGGGCCTTCCAGGCAGCCATCCTCCTGCAGTGCATCAGCTGGCATTATTCCTAATTTCTATAGCTCCTACTCAGACCTTCTCGGTATTCCTCCGAGTCCTCCCTTCTTCACTTCTAGGAGACGCCCCCTTCTGCTGTTACCAAGAAATCATCAAATGAGCAAAGCTATGATTTATATAATACCACCACTGAATCTGCATTCTATTCACACACATCCTATTCTTTTCTGCTGCCTGAACACCTAAGACCAATCCTATCCCCACCCCCACATTCCCTGCCAATTCTCAGGGATCCAGTTCCCCGCTTAGCCCCTCTCTAAATCTCTTATCTTCTGAACCCTCTACTCCACTGTTCCTGCTGACCTCTTCTGAAAGGTTAAAGTCTCTCTCACGAGAAGGAAAACCTCCCACCCTCACATTCTCGCCCAGCTTTCCATCTTATTTTTATTCTCCAGAACCAAATCTGAGTGGTTGGCCCACAGCCACCAGCTCCAGTCACTCATCCTGGATACATTCACTGAATGTTGGAAGCTACGTTTTGAAGCTGCCACTTTAATGAATCTGCTTTTTTGGCCAAAGTCACCGACTACTACCCCTTTGGTTTTAGATCCACAAGACAAACCTTAGTTCTTTCTTGTTGACTGATCCCTGGGATCAGAACACAAGAGCATTTTCTACTAAACCTAATCTTCTTGCTATGCTTCTTATCACAATGAAGGGCTGGTATCTTGATCCTTCCAGTTTCCATTCTAAAAACCAAGAGATCAGTCTTGACATCTTTCTTACTTTCCACATGTAATTAATTACTCACAAAATCCTGTCTTCCTCCTCCTATCTTTCAAAAGCACTCAGTTTCCGCTGTCATCACTATCATTCTTTCAGCAACTGCTCGCTCTCAACAGCGACTACTGCAAGAGCTCCCTAGCGTGTCTCCAAGTGTCATCCAATTCCAGTCAACTGAGCATCTGCCGGCAAGAGCAGGCTCTCCAGAATGCGTGTCTGTGTTTACTTCTCCAGGCTCTAAACAGCTCAGTGCCTTCCTACTGCCCTTAGGAAAATAACCAAACTCTTCACAAGCAGTTCATAGGTCCTCTGTGATCTGCCATTTCACTATCTCCAGCTTCGTTCCTTGCCACTCCCTCAGCTTTGCACTCTATGAACCAGCCACGCTGAACTCTGTATTAATTCATCAAAAGCCCCACACTCTCTGTTCCTCCCTTGGGTCGTCCTCTGCACAGCCGACTTTTCTCTCGGGCCAGAACATGTTCTGTGTCCCACTTCCACCCCAGCTGCCTGTCCCCCAACTTCTGACCTCAGCTCGGATTACTCCTTCCGGGTCACTTCCTTTGATCCCCTAGCTCCACTCAGGTACCTGGGTACATGCTTCCCTAGCATGTGGCACTTCACCTATAATGGCAATTACCTCATTATATTGTAATGATTCTTTACCAACTGAGCTATCAGGGCTCAGCTGGTAAAGAATCCTCTTGCAATGCAGGAGACCCCGGTTTGATTCCTGGGTCGGGAAGATCCGCTGGAGAAGGGATAGGCTACCCACTCCAGCATTCTTGGGCTTCCCTTGTGGCTCAGCTGGTAAAGAATCCTCCTGCAATGTGGGAGACCTGGGTTCGATCCCTGGGTTGGGAAGATCCCCTGGAGAAGGGAAAGGCTACCCCCTCCAGTATTCTGGCCCTGAGAATTCTATGGACTATACAGTCCATGGGGTCGCAAAGAGTCGGACACGACTAAGCAACTTTCACTTCACTTCACTGCTGTAATGATGTATCCATACTCCTTGATGGTAAATTCTACTTAGCCCATCCACTGTGCTCCTAACATGAGAAGGGCTTGCTAAGTGCTCAAAAAATAAATTATGAATGGTTTTTCAGACCAAATTAAGAAGTTTGACTTTCATCATGTACGTAATGGGGACCCTGCAGCAGTTTCAAAAAAGGGAAGTGAAATTACTGGCTGGTTGGTGTGGTGATAAGTGTCTTTGTGATACACAAAACTAGATTCAATCAGAGGAATACGGTTTTTCCTCATAGGATTTCAAAGGTGCACAGGAAATCTTAACTTCTTGCCAGCCATTAGTGCTTGGATTTTGGACACAAGAATTCTGTTTGTGCCTTGTGCTTTAAGGACAACAGTCTAACCCTCCCGAGTCTCACCTCCCAGCTCTTGGTGGTTGGCTCACTGAAGAAGTTGTCAATCATATTCAATTCTTCTTTCTCCACCACCACAAAGCCTTGCTCTTTGGCATCTTTCCCATAGACGTCAGGAGACCATTGGACAAAGAATGTGTACAAGTGATCCACCCTGAAAAACACGTTTGCCATAGAGGTTAACACCAAATCTACAGACACGAGTAGGAACTTGGGCACGTACAACTATCTTTTTCCTGCTTGGCAAGTCCATGTTGTTACTTGGGAAATCGCCCATGTTGAAGACAATCTCTACCTGTGAATTCAAAATTTGGAAAATAAGTCCTTAAATGCAAGCAAAAGTCCACAGACACTGAGAAAATGTCCTTCAATCTGAGGTAAAGATCAAGAAATGGGACTTAAAGATAGAAAACACAATGAAATATTTACACCGAATTTTTTTTTCTTCATTGGATCCTCATTTATTGGATGTCTCTATTCACGGGGGAAAAACTGACCTGACCTGAAAACTGACCTGAAAATTAGATGGAAACAAAGCAATATTCCAATGGGTCTTTATGTAGACTGAAACATTATTATATCATAATTTTAATAAAATATCTTTAATAACTAGAAAATATCAGGGATAATACTTGCTATCATTTTAACATTAGAAACAGACTTAATTTTACCACCACTAAGAATGCAGTCTTGCCTTCAATATCTCTGTTCTCCTATACATATTTAACATCTGAAGCATCTCTCCAGACTTAATCAACAGACAGGTGGCTAGTTCCTAAGAAAAGACTGGGAGCTCTCAGTCTTAGCACCTAAAATACCCCCCACCCCTCACCCATGTGAAAGAGTCAAAAGCTCTCTGACCTGCAACCATCACAGTGGAGGTATAAAAAAGATAGGATCAAATGATTCTTAGAGTCTTTAATAATTACAACATGATAATTTCAATTTGAGTCTCCTGTTTGGCACAGTGCTACCTCATTGCTAAGTTTATAAAAGTTCTAACTGTAAAAATATCGTAACACTCTTGCTGTAGACTGAATATTTGAGTCCCCCTAAAATTCGTATGTTGATATCTGATCCCCAATGTGATGGCATTTGGATGTAGGACCTTTCAGAGGTGCTTAGGTTATGAGGCAGAGCCCTCATGACTGGGATTAAAAGACCCCCCGGAGCAAGCCCCCTGTGACACGTCTGAATGCAGTGCAAAGACAGCATCTATGGAACCAGAGCAAGCCCTCACCAGACACTGAATCTGCCAGCACTTTGATCGTGGACTTCCAAGACTCTAGAACTGTCGTGAATAGATCTCTTCTTTAAAAGCCACCCAGTCTATCATATTCTGTTATAGCAACAAACTGAAGGGGTTCCCTGGTGGCTCAGTGGTAAAGAATGACCTGGCCGCTGCAAGAGACTCAGGTTTGATCCCTGGGTCAGGAAGATCCCCTGGAGAAGAAAACTGCAACCCACTCCAATATTCTTGCCTGGAGAATCTCATGGATAGAGGAGCCTAGTGAGCTACAGTCCCACACAAAAGAGTCAGACACAACTGAGCAACTAAACAACAACAACAAACTGAGAAATATTAATAGGATTAAAACAAACAACAAAAATGTCACCATAATTCTAACATTCCAATGGATCAAATTGACTTTAGGTTTCTATAGTCCTAACCTGTTCTTGATCATATGTAAAAGATTTTCTTTCCATTGTTATCAGGGCTAAGACATAATTGTTTGTTATATGTAACATTAAATAGTGCCTATTTGCCATTGTTGCTAATCTTTGTACTGACTTGTAATGGCTACATTTCAGAAGAAATAAACCATAATTACCCAAATTCCTATGTCCTTGGGATGTTTAGTTTGTTTCCAGTTCTCTTTCTTTGATTGTACAAATAACACTGCAATGAATATCTTCATGATCCATGCCTTTTGTCATCTTTTGAATTATCTCCTCAAGATTAGTTCCCAGAAGAGGGATTATTAGGCCAAAGGGCATGGTTTTATAGCTTGTGATCCATCTTAACAAACTGCTCTTGAAAGCCTGACTAATTTACTCTGACAGGAGCATTGCAGTTTGCATCTAAGGTAACAATCTTGCTGATCCTTTTTTTTCCAAATGAATTTAATATATATTTTAAGTTTTATCCCACTGATTCTATATTTCTTTGAATGGTAGTGGGTTGAACATTTTTCAAATGTTTTCTTCCTGGCTGCCTTCTATGAATTGGCTCTGTGATTGTGGAGTCATTGTTTTTCTTTTCAATATATGGGAGCCTTTATACAATGTAAACATTAACCACTGCCAAATGTTTTTCTAAGCTGTTTTTTCCCTTTTAAGATAATTATGTCTTTTCTTTCATAATATAAAATTCTAATTTTCATATATTTTAAAGGTATAGTTCCTTTGAGACTTCTACTCCTTCAAAACAAGGGAAGTTGGCACCCAAGACAAGGTGTATATCAGTGTGCTATGATATGCTAACCATTTCTATTTTTTTCTAAAAAAAAAAAAGAAATATAGATATATGTTATAACTGTACATGGCTGTGATAGTTAATTTTATATGTCAACTTGCCTAGGCCATGGCCAGCCTTTGGTCAAACAGGAGTCTAGATGTTGCTGTGAAGGTATTTCTTTTTAAAGCTGTGACTAACAAGTAAGCAGCCTTTCAATAAAGCAGATCACTCTCCATAATGTGGGTAGGCCTCAGCCAATCAGTCAAAGGCCTTAAGAGAAAAAGACTAAAGTCCCCAAAGCAAGAAGGAATTGTCTCTAGATGCCCTTCAGGTTTGTGACTACAATATCAACCCCGCCCTATTCCTCCAGCCTACCAGCCTACCTTGCACATTTTGAACTTGGCAACCCCCATAGCCATGTAAGCCAATTCTTTAAAGGAAATCTTTCTCTGTATATGTGTGTATCTGCATACAGACATATACACCTACACATACACACATCCTCTCAGTTCTCTTTCTCTTGAGATCCTTGACTAAGACAACGGACAACCCTGAAAAGCTATGTAAGAAACTGAGGTGAATGGTTATCTCTGGGGAATGGAATGAGGTAGAAGAAAGATACACTATATATATCTTTCCTTAAGTTATTTAAATTTTTGGACTTGATAGTACATTTTTATAATTTGAAAATTAAAATTACATTTAAAAAAAGCAAATAATGGGAACTTTTCATCTCACTCATATCCCTGTCTGTCACCTTCTGGGTCCACCTTTCACCGCTTTAGGTGACCACTTTATTATCTCCTTGTGTATTCTTGTGGTGCTATTTGTATGTTGTTCATTGCTGTTCAGTCGTTAAGTCGTGTCTGACTCTGCAACCCCATGGACTGCAGCACACCAGACCTCCCTGTCCTTCGTTATCTCCTGGAATTTGCTCAAACTCATGTCCATCGAGCTGGTGATGCCATCTAACCATCTCATCCTCTGTCACCCTCTTCTTTTTCTGCCTTCAGTCTTTCCCAGCATCAGGATCTTTTCCAATGAATCAGTTCTTCACACAAGGTGGCCAAAGTACTGAACTTCAGCATCTATCCTTCCAATGACTATTCAGGGTTAATTTCCTTTAGGACTGACTGGTTTGATATTTATATCTATTTTATAGCTAGAAATAAACATGAATATAGATTCTTTTCCTCTTTTGTTTCTATGAAAAAATAGTACTATTCTCTAGCTTTTTTTTGCTTAACAGTAGAGCCTGGATACCCTTGCACAGCAGTAGAGAGATGGCTTCCTCATTCTATCTTTTATAACTACACAGTACTTTACTGTGTGGATTTACCCTAGTTTATATAACCATCCTCTCTAACCTGGTCACCTGGCTTGTTTTCAAGACAGTGCTGTCATAAACTATGCCATGAGTAACTTGGAACGTCATTTTTGCATGTGTTATAGATAGAGCTCTACGATGTATTCTCAGAAGTGAGACTGTGTTATCGGAGGAGCAATTCACTTATGGCATCAGTTTCTGCCCTCCCACCAGCAATATGTTTGCTCTTTTGAATCTCCAAACTATTTTTATCATATAATATGACACTTCCTATTAAAAGTTAACTTAGAAACAGTAAACTAAATCATGACTCCAGAAACGTTGATAAGTATACAATTCTAACTCTTTTTGAGCTTTCTAACACTTAAAATTTAGTCCATCTTCAGTGTATTTTAGAAAAAAGTTGAGAAGCAAATATGCTTCACTCTAACTTTTGTAAAAGGACACATTTATTACATGCTTACCCACTTCAGATAAAATGGCTTCCTAAATATATGTGAATTAGCTTATTTGTGAGAAAGAAGAAAGCAGTTCCTGATACATGGGAGCTGGTCTGTTCCTATCGGCCAGGGCCCAGTGGTGAGAGGAGCTGGCCTAGCACTCCCAGCTTGGCTCTGGTAACCTCCCGCTGAACATAAACAATTCCACAGAACATTAACATCAGGCAAAGACACTCTATGATCATGATGAATCATGACAGAGACGAGACTGCTGAGGTCTTATATCTGAACACAAATAGTGTTCAACCACAAAAATGACCAAACATCCCTCTAATCTGGCTAATATAAATAACTGTGCTACTTCACCAATTATGGCATTAGCCTCTCTAGTTTTCCCTCCCTCAACATAGGATTTCTGCTTCTAATCCAGTGCAAAGTCCAACTTAAAGTTCTCCCTCGAATCACCTAACATACATCCTGTGACCCCTTTCTAGCTCCCTCTAACTACAAAGGGCCCTCAGATGGCCTTAAGTCCCATGCATTCTACTTCAATGCAATAAGTCAAGCCAGCTCATTCAACTTCAGGGGTGTTCCTGGTGGTCCTTGGCTGTGGGGCATCGCTTCCTTAAACAACACTCTGTGTGCACCCACTATGCGCCAGTGACCTGGCCCTGGAGGAGCTACCTTCTGGAATATCAGGGTTGGAGATATAAGGTATCATTTAATCCAGCTGACTCTTCTTGATATAAAAGAATGAGGGCGTTAAAGTCTACCATGAGCGTCACAGCCAGGACCAGATCTCCTGAGGTGACAATCAGGGTTCTTCGAATCACATTGCAAAGTCTTCCCCATATGTATCCTACATTGATTTCTGTACTGGTTCCCAGTTAATGTCCGGGTTACGACACAAGACCCATTTCCTTAATCAC